TTAGATGCTAACTGCTTTTAACATCGCACGCCTTTAATTATATAACAGCTTTGTACTGGAGGTTGCTTGCCTGTGGGTTAGAGTGAGCTTTGCACGGTCTGAAATTCCTAGTGCTCCTGTAAAACAGGCAGGCAGTACTATACACGTTTTTGTGGGGGGAAGTGGTGCGTGGGAAGGTTAATTGACTTGTTTGTGACTGTAGTGGGAACAGAAAGTGGTGGAGAAAGACTCAAAGCAGATTTCACTAAAGTTGTATTTCTCATTCGTTCTAAATATTCTTTCTAAATTTTGCAGATAGCTCCAATAAGAATGTAACTTAATTCTGTGTATGGAGTGTGATGTAAATTTGCATCAGATTTTGTTTCTATTGAAGAGAATTAAAAAAAAAAAAATTCATTGGGATTGTAATCTTAAATGAAAAGAGGTAGTTTATTAAGTTATTAGATGGTGGGTCTTGATAATAAGTGCCATTACATATATTAAAATTGAGTGAATTGCTTTTTGATGAGAATTTAGTACACAGTGTTTCCCAACACTGTCAGGCTATATCGCACACAATGTATAACAGCAGGTTACAAATGAAGGTAACAACGATAGCTCCTGAAACCTTAGAAGAAAACAAAATAGGAAATTACTGTAAATACCCAGAGAATACTGGTGGTTCTTCTGTACTAACTAAAGAGAAGGCATATTTAAAAAGAAATAGTGGAATCTTTTTCTCAATAAATCCATATTATTAAAATTTTTCCCACGTTGGGGATGCTTTGTCCTGCTAGCAGAAGTTGGCTGTACAGTAACCCTGCTAGCCAAAGAGGATGTCTTCAGGGAAGAGGATGAGTATCTGCTGTGAAACCAACGTGGTCTACCAGCTCCTTGCCTCTGTTCTGGGGCCAGAAGGAATGGAACACGATGGGAACTCCCTTGTTCCCTGGCAATACTTGGTTGTCATTAGTGTGCCCTTGAAACTGGTTGACAGCATAATCTATAGCCTAGTTCCCAGTTAAGCATTTGGGTTGCCAAGAGTTATCAAAATGCATTTGCAGCACTTTTCTAGGTGTCTCATGTGGTGTTCAGCCCGGGGTTCTCTGTTTTTAAAACAGTTGCCTGGATTGTCAAGTGGAGTAGATGTAGTACCACACAGGCTGTGATATTTTTGACACTGAGAGAAAAGCTGCAGTTTGTGATGAAAGACAACAGACTCACAGTGAATGTACGTCTGCAGTGGAAGGATTTGCCTTGTCTGGTAAACTGAAAGGGCCTTGCTCAGTCCTAAGATTTAAGACAACTTATTTACTGATGTTTGAGATCACGAAAGGTCTTGCATAGAGAAATGGTTATATTATAACACATTTTTGCTACTTTTGCATTTTCAAGCTCATTTATGTATAGCAGGAGTATTAGATCTGGCATGGCAGAATCTGCATTGCTGTTTCTGCAAATATCATGAGGTTGATGTACCTGTGATGGAAAACAAAAAAAAACAAAAAACCAAGACCACCAAGGATAAGGCTAGTAAATACTGTTCCTCATTAAATGGAAATGCTGGACAAGATCCATCAGCTTAGAGGTGTTATAAGAGGTTATAGTACTTGTTAAAAATGACAACGCTTTCTGGAGCATCTGCAGTGGATGTTTTTCCTTATTTAATGTTACCACAATTGACACTTAAGAAGCAGCTTTGTCTTTTAAATGACTAAATGAAAGTAATTTTTTCTTACTTTTCATCAGCCTGTGGCCTAAAAGTGTCCTGAATTTGTTATACCAGTCCACCTAGTAGCCAGAAACCATTTTCATAATGCCTCTTTTTTTTTTTTTCCCATTGTATGGAATCATGCAAGTTAAAAATGGCAAATAACCTTTCATTAGATCATCCAGTCTGTCCACCTGCCAATGCTGTTTGTTCCAACCAGCATATGTTGTAATGTGTTTTCTCCTTCCTTTTAATTATGTCAAATGTCAAGGCTTCCTTTACTTCTCCTGAGAACTATTTTCTAATACGGGAGATTTTTCTGGCAAGAAGGTTGTTGGATATCCAACCTTAATCCACTATTTTGTAATTTCCTACTCTTGCACCTGGTTATTCACCTGTGTACTAAGCTAAATACGAGTCAGATTCTGCTCTTTGGGGTAAGTCCACAAAACGTGCCCACCCTGTTTCTGCTTGTGATCTTAGCACTGTGCTCATTTCAAGGCTAGATGTTGTAAGAGCATTTGTTAGTGCACTCCCAATTTAACTGACTGTATGTTGTCTGAGCTTTTTTTTGATAGGATAGTGCTTGAGCACATAGTTCAAACCCGTTGAACTACATGCTGTATTGTCTTGACCCTAAAGAGGTACAGTCCCATAGATCAAACAGACAAAAAAGAGGAGAAAAATGTAAGTTACAAGTAGAGAAGTGTCTTTATGTCCCTCCAGGTTCCCACTGTCACAGTGATTGATTGCAATCCTGCGTGTTTTGTATGTTCAGAACCCTCTTAGCCAAGAAGCGAAGGGAGAGCAAAACTCCCCTGCTCTTTTGTCAGGAGTAACCTGATTGCTCTTCTCTTCGTTCTCCATAAATTAAAGAGAACCCCCATCATCACAACTTCTAGTTGTTCTAGTGATCGCTTTTTTTTTTTTTTTTTAATAGAATGATAGAATCATAGAGTAGTTTGGGTTGGAAGGGACCTCTAAAGGTCATCTAGTCCAACCCCCTTCCGTGGGCAGGGACATCTTCAACTAGATCAGGTTGCTCAGAGCCCTGTCATTTTCCTTATATATAACCCTTCTAGACTTAGTGCTGTCTGTCCCTGGCTAAGTTCTCTCTGGTTTGTCCATTTTTGGGGGGTATTGCGTGAGTTGCGTGCCTGTGTACATTCCCAACAGTGAAGCCAGAGCCAGCCCTGCTGCTTTCCTGCCCTGCACAAACATGTGCATGCAGCCAAAATTTATACTACTACTACTAGTACTACTAGTACTACTACTGCTTTTCTCTTTTGTATGGTCTCCTTACCCACCCCCTTCACCAGTGTCAAAGTCTCATCTAGAGTCATATAACAGCAGAGGAACTGACTTCTAGTTCTGTATGCATATATGTAATGGAAGAATATATATGTATGCATTTTTCTAGCTGATTACAGAAATTGCATCACGTGCAACAAAATTTCACATGATTGAATAGTGTTGCTGTTTTTAAGAATGTTTTGATTTCGTATGAGAAATGGTCCTTTGCAATTGTCAAAAATCGGTTTCTTTTTCTAGCAATAAAAGCAACAAATATCAGATGACAGAAAGGTGTTTATAAGCTATTTGGATTTATTTTAACTGAAGGACAATAATAAATATTTACAATTTTCTGCTTTTGTCTTGTTTCCCCATATGTTATGCTAAAGTTGACTAACTAGCTTGCCAAATAGGCTCCAAATGTCAATTTTGTAAATTATTTGCAAATGAAGAAGCATCTTTAGATACAGGATTGCTTTAAACAGCAGTCAGTGTGTTTCTTATCCGTGTGATTAATCACCAGAGACTAGAGATGCCAAAATATTAAGTGCCACTGCCAAGCAAAATTTCATTTTGTCTGACCAAGTGCCAGAACAGAAATTTTCTTGTGAAACAGGCAATTTTGCAGTGATTACCTTCTCTGGCTGTTTGATGCCTAAGGTAACGGCCTGATTTGGCAGCTGAAAGAAGCTGAGCTCCACCTCAGTTGCACCTATTTGCCAAGCCATGCCTTGGCACATTATTTCATGATTAAATGCTTTTCATCTATTGGATTTTAAATCCGATTGAATTGCATAAACTTTCTTAGTCCATTGAGTTCCTGGTTAAATTAAATAAAATGTTATTAAGCAGTTCTAAGTGAGCTAAGTTATGGTCTACAAAGCAACGGGAATATTTACGTTATTTTATTCTGTTGTTCTCTTCATATGCACCAAGAAAGAAAACTGTGTTCAAGAATGGTCTTAACAAACGGAAATTCAGTTTGCAACTAAAAAGTAGCAACTGGTTTCTTGGTGGTGGTGGTAGGTTTTGTGTTGTTTTCGTTTTTTTTTTAATTTAACCATGCTTTGTGGCTGGCTGGACCAAAGTGTTAGGTGAACTTGCTCTCAGATGTATGAGTTGTGTGCTTCTGTCATACCTGCCTCTGGTCTTTGTAGGACTATTAAAATTAAAGGACTCTTCACTGCTTCAACTTGCTGTGCTAGAGAAGATCAAGAAAGAAAATGATCAGTGGAGTCAGGCTGTTTATTTGTATTGCCTTCTTTTATAATCAAACACATGTACTGGTTTTGTTTGTCCAGTCCTTTTTATTAAACATCCTATCTTAAGACACCACTTAAAAGCATCCCTGAGTAAACAAAAACACTGGTTTAGTTAATCTTATTTTTTAATTTGACCTTGAGTACTCCTTGCAGTGAGCTTTCCCTGCAGTTCTGTGTGTTTGATCGCCAGAGTTAACATCCCTACTGATGCCAACCGTAGCCTGTCCCAGCCCTATGAACCCTAATAGACATGCTATTTTAGGGCACAGTATATTTGTGCATATGAGGTCCATAATAAATATTTGTTTTAAACTTGGCTAAAAACAGTAGAAGAAACATAAAATGTTAACTCCAGCGTAATATAACAGGAGTTGACATTTGAATAATGTTTGTGTCTCTCTTTAAAAGGTTTTTAACATTTCTGTGTATTTTTAATGCACATTAAATTATTCTCAATATGAGTTACGTTTCCCACTGGCACTATAGAAGGTAGCCTGATCACATAGAAATCACCATCTCCTTCCGAAAGGCAAGTAAACATCAGCTCTGTAAGCAGAGCAGGGCGAGTATTCTGCCAGACCATTTATCGGTACAGAAAAATGTAATTACTACAAGACTTTTTAGTAAATAAAAAAATTAAGAGCCATCTTCTTTATAAATTCTCCAAATATACTTACAATTTCTATAATTATTTTATTACATTTTCCACTATTTTTCACCAATGAAGTGCTATCTGTGCGTTACCATATAGCAGTGGGTAAGCATTGTCAGCTACGTTGATGAGATTTGTGATGGTTAACCTGTAAAGAAAAGGCCTGGAATATGCAGAGTCCTTCAAAAGCAGCTGTGGTGGGCGATGCAATGTCAGTGTGTTTCTTTCTTTTAAGGTTAATGAAATGAGAAAGAGGATTCGGGGAGAAGCTCTTCACTTGTTTTGCTTAATGAAGTGACTTTTTGTCATTCTACCTATACGTAGAAATCTGCGTTTAGTTTTATTTTACCTGTACAGCTGTGGTCACTGCAACTGAGGTTCCTTTCATTCTTTTGTCTCACAGGCCATTTCCCGCTTGTGTGAAGATAAATATAAGGACTTCAGGAAAGCCGCAAAGAAACGGTCAGTCAGTGCTGACAATCTGACTGTGGTTAGATGGTCCCCTGCTATTATCTCCTAACCCAGGAGACTGGAGTATTCCTACGGACGTACTGTTTCATCCATCCATTTTTTTGGAGGTGGGCTGGGGGCGGGGGTACATCCATTTTTTTGGGGGTGGGCTGGGGGCGGGGGGATAAAGAAAAAAGACTTTTGTTTTTTTTATTTTTAAATCTGTCAAGCTGCCTTTACAGTGCCTCCCCATTGTGTAGCACACGAGTAAAATACCTAGTGGAAGGAGAAATGGAGAAATCGGTGTTTGGGAGAGAAGATGGGCAACAGTTTTTTTTCTCACTTTCGCTAACAGCTTTACCCTTTTATGAGGAAACAGCAAATCAGGTGCTTGGAAGAAGAAACAAAAAAAATGAAGTAGAGGCAGAAAAATATTTAAAAGAACCGTGCCATTTTCTAATATGCTGTACTCATGAAGAGAAATGGCAGCATGAAAACAAACCATGTAGTCAGATGACTCTGCACTAGAGGAATGAAGTTGGGAGAATTCCATCCTAAAGGTTTCTCTTAATATCTTTTTTATTTTTTGTTGTTTTTTTGTGGTCCTCATTGCTGCTTCACAGGATAAATTCTTCCCCTTGCACAGCAGCAAATACGAAGTCTGCATTTACAGTAGCACAAGCCCCTGAATAAATAGCGTTGGGTTTTTTCACTGCACTTTTCTCTGTAAGCTGTCTTATTAGCATTATTCTTCATAATTATTATGCATATGTTATATTTCTTGTATGCCTTTTATTGTATTTCAAGAAAGAACTTGACCATAGTACTGAACCAAAAGCGTGTACAGGGATCAGAAGATCTTCGTAATTTCATGATGTGTTTTATTTATAGTATACTTGGGTGCGTGTGCCTTCCTGAGTTCTTGGAATCATTTATTTTTCCTTAATATAAAGATACAGTTATTAAAAGTATTCAGATGATGATGATAAGACTTGGGCCAAATCTCTGAAATTTGCAACAGATCTTGTGATCATTTTTGCAGATTTTCACAGCATTAGAAGTTTAGCAGAATTCATTTTGAGGGACTTTTTTTTTTTTTTTGTATGGCCTGACCTAGTTCATTCCTTCACCTCCAGGTCCATTGTTGCAAGCAATATTCTCAATTTTTATATGTTTACTTTAAATCAAAGTGAGTCTGTTTGTAAAAAATAAAAAAAATTAAAAAAATTGTTCCAGTGAGAAGGCCTGTAGAAGAGTAGAATGGAAATCTTAACAAGGTATTTGTCACAAGTCGGTTCGATTTTGAAGCTAAAATACAAACCCTCGTGTTTCTCAGCGTAGGTGCTTACAGAAATTAAAAGTAACCGAACTGTGAACATAATCTTCAACTCTGATTATTAAGCTCTTCTGTTGTTGTTACTAGTTCCCTCTTACTGTGGCTGTTGCCCCCTTGGAATTTGTAAGAACCTTTTATAGAAAATAACTTGTCAGTATAAGCATATTTGCTTTATAAAGCCCCGGGGTGATTTTTTTCCTTTTTTTTTTTTTTTGCACAGTTTAGAAAGATATGGCTGAAAACTCTCGGTTCCCTGAAATCCTTTCTTTGCATCTATCAGTGAAATTAATGGCAACAAATGTCCCTGATTTATGCACTACTGTGGTAAACCGTAAATATTCCGTATTTGTTTTATTAAGCCCTATGGGCTTGTAGCAAACCTAGGGGCCCAGAGATGCACACTTGACTTCCAGTGCAATGCTATTCGGGTGCCTCCGGGCGGAGAGGCACTGACAGGATTGAAGTAGTAATACCAAACAGTTTTCTGTTAACTTTCTAATGTGATTTGTGTAGTTTGAGACATGAAGGTTTTGTCCATAAATTCTTCTAATGTCCTTTGGGCCTTTAAAATAATCTAATTCTCATCACTTCTTGTTGTGCCAATGCATCAGAACTGTGAGTATCCAAGTCCATTTTTCCCTTGAACGTGGAATGTAAGGAAAGTGTTTATAAAAATACAAATGCAAAGTACAGCATTTGAAACCTCTTTACAGATAGTATCAAAAGGATCATTTCCAGAGCATTTGAAATTCATCCTTTATAAGCATACATTTGTGCTTTAAAATACGTAAAATAATTTGATTTATCAACACTTTGCTAAACTATTTTCCATTTAACTTGATATCAGGAATATTGGTTTTATCCATTTCTGGGTGATAGAGATATGAACTTTGGATTATGTAAAGATCTCAATGCATCTACTATAATTTTTGTGAAGTTTATTAAACTACTTTAAAGATTGTATAGTCTATTTATTGTATGTATGTACATACAGTCTGATACTTTAAAAAGTGGATTCCGTAAAACCTGGCTCGGTCTTGTTTAGACTATTGAATATCGTTTTAGCCTTGTGCACTGGACTCTACCTCTGTATAGGAGAATTTTCCATATTCTTAATTAGTACTGATTCTGTGATTAACTTGGTTATGTTTCTTGCACTAAGAATTAAAAAAAAAAATCTACTGTAAGTGTGGATTTTTTTCTTTAGTTTAAGTTTTGCCGTATGAATCCTCTACATTTAGATGGACGTTTCTTTCCCTCATGGTTACAGAATAATTCTTTGCTTTTTCTTCTGGTTTGTTCCACGGTTGCCAAAAAATACAGTACCTGTCAGTAAATCTTAATGAGTGTCTTTTGTTTGCAAGATATTCTATACCATGTAATTAAAAATGAATTATTATTTAGGATTTTGTTGTGTTTAGTGTAGTTTTTTTAAGCATTACTGTATGGAAAATGCCATTGCAAGGTTAGAGAATCACCCGGAGTGTGAGAAGGGAGGAGAATCAAATAATGTTTTAATTAACAGCACAAATACATTGTGTTTTTCATTTCAGAACCTGAAACAAAATTTGCTGTACATGTTTTCTGGATTAAGGTTTTAATTATTGCTTTGGTCACGGGCTCAGAAATGAAAAGGTGTAGGAGATGTAATAAACCTGTCCCTTCAAGCGTCATTGTCTTAATGAATTATTTTTATATGTTGAGCCAGTGGGCCATTTGTTTGGTCATTTATGCAATGGTAATTGGATAAATATTTGAAAAAGACATCTTGTAAGCGTTTTTATTCATGCATCCCTCTGCAGCCCAGAGATGTTTCCCTAATTCTTCTTTCCATCTACAAACTTGTTTATATTTCATTTTTTGTTTATACTTCATTTTTTATCAGTGATATTCATCATTCTGACAGACGCTGTTCTTTGGGACTGACAACACTGGAGTCACGTGATAAAGAGCAAAAAGAAGAAAAAAATCAAATCACCTTTTCCACCTTCCACAAATCCTATCAGTCTTTCAAATGATACACGTTTTCTATTGCTAAAAAACATACAAAATCCTGTCACATAGCACAGTAATGGTATCCTTTTCAATAATTGAATTTTTTATTTGGTTTTTTTATCTTTTTTTTTTGAGAGGGAGAGAGATCAGCATATATGGCTTAGTTTCCCTTAGCTTATTTAGCGTAGTTTATCATGTAAACTAAATACATGATGGAAGAACTGTTTACATTTATGGAGTCTTAGTTCAGACTTTGTTTTTTAACACCTCTTTCTCTACTTCCTAATGCCAGAAACCTTAGATATAATCTAAAGATTAGAAGTAGCAAAAACCTCATCAGAAAAGGGTGATGGTGTATTGGTGGCAGGTGACAAAGTGACATCTGGTAGTGTTGGCTATATATAAAAATAGCAGTATGTGGGAGGGGATAGAGGAATTGAAAGGGCAGAACCAGAAAAAAACCAAAGCCTTAACAGCTGAAGCAACAAATTATTTACAGTTTGTTGGTAACATGTTTGTTGGTAACAAACACTGCATTTTCCAGTGACATGTTTAACCTGCTAACTGAAGTGCTGCACATCCACTGCAGGCTCATATTGCTCTCTGCTTCTATGTGGTCTTCATAAGATTTCACTCAACCTAGCTTTTAGCACTTCCTCACTTCTGTTTCGAACACATTTCTGTAATCAGAATATGTTTTTTTTTTTATTGGAATTGACAGTTGTTGAAAACCTCTGCCTACCTCTGCAGTGGAGTGCCCACTTAGTGGGCAGGTGCTGAGAAAACCACTCAAATACAAACACAAACATACCTGTGTGAATGCGACCTAGATGTATACAGAGATGTCTACGCCCGAAGTGCAGGAAGTGTCTTTCTGCTGTTTCTGTTTTTTCTCTTCCACTGAACTACATCTTGAGGAAATCACAGAACTGATGAGAGTTTGAGTTGCGTAGACTAAAGGTAATGACAGAAGATATGTAGCGACCACTGCTAGGAGAAAATGCTTTAAAAAAGAAAACAAGATTTAGAAGAAAAGCTACTGATCATAAGGAAACCAAGAGTGATAGCAGACATAGATTATGGTGCTGAAAATGATTGTTTCGTAGTCTGTATGAACCTGCTTTTCTGGGTCCTCTTCTGAGAATCCACAAAAAGCGACTGGTGAACCCCAGAACCACAGCTTGAAAATGGCTGAACAGATTAGCTAAGAAAGCCATGCTTGGATTTATTTCTGTTGTCTGGGCTTGATCATCAGGCTCTTCCCACTAAAAAAGAAGCAACAGGATGGCAGATTGAAGAAAGGCAGGTGACAGAGCAGTACAACCAGACTGTATTTCTTGTGTTCCTTCTAGAATGGTTGGTCTGATGCAATTTGATGTGAAAAAAGAGAGTTGTTTTTTCATGCCCTTTATACCGTGTGTAATGTGCTTCAGCATTATCGGTGGAGACTTTCAACTGTTATTAGCTGAAGATACTCTTTGGTGATGATACGCTAAGCATCCTTCTTGGTGTGGTGATAGTAACTAATGCAGTAAAACTTTGAAGCTAGAAAATCTTTGGAACTAGCACTGCTGCCCCCTTTGAATTCACTGGCAGTGAAGCACATACTCAAAAGGCAGATGAAGACTTACTTATGTGACGAGTGCTTCACTAAACCAGGCGTTAGAGTAAAACACCTCCTTCACGCAAGAGATTCTGCAGCGCACTTAAGTCTAGAGTTAATTCTTCTCTTATCTATATGTTTTCTTGCTTCACTGCCTCTGGGTTTTCGTGCCTCTTTATTTTAGACATTAGTACAAATTATTCTCA